CGAAATTCAGCCATCAGATCCTTCAACGTAGAACTTTGGACTGTTTTTAGCGAAAACATCAAGTAATGGCTTGTAAAAGTGAATTTCCCCAGCAGTGGTTTTGAACAGGAAAAATCATAACTCATATCATTGTGGAAGTATTTATTTTCAAATCTTAAAAAATTCAGTTGAAGAAAAACTGCTCCTCAATCCTCCCATGAAAATTTGCCTGGCCTCCACGTCATGAAGAAATGCAAGGCTGAGCTTTCTACAGCAATAAAGGAGACTCACCAGGCCAGCGAGGCCTGCCTTCTGCCCCTCTCCTGCACTGACCCTTTGGAGGGGGTCCACACTTCTGTGCGCTGAACCTGACCCAGGATGGAAAGTGAAACCACATGTGCCGTGATTTTTAGGATTTATGAGTAGACAGTGTTCATTTGCTTTTCTATAGTAATAATATAAATTATTCTTTAGGTTTAAAAAAGAGCACTCAATGCAATGTGAGTAATTGGTGGGGCTGATTTTTTCCTACTGTTTCACAGTCAGCCTCTGTCTAACTGCAAGTAGCCCTAACAGTTTTTGTATAAGAAAGGGACACTTAATCTGGCCTTAAAATAACACACAAAGATGGGCTTTGGCCCCACGGAAAGGGGAAAGCTGCCTCTTACAGAATCACTCGAGCCCTTTCCAGCACTGTTGGTCTGTGAATAACAAGATTGCTTCACCTAGTTTTCTCTTGGAGTATCTCTGGAAGCTTTCCCCACAACTGAGTTGTTACAGCCCTTGTTTCGTTCTGAGCTTGTTGTTTTAGTCATGGGCTTTCTTCCCCTGCCCTGGGTGCAAAGGCATACTGGGAAAGGAGTGGATGTTGGGGAGAAGGAGGGGATGGGTTTGGGGTGGCCGTTGGGAGGAAAGTGGATGAGAGGATCAGATACCAAAGTCCAGGGTCCCAGCAGGATTGGTAAAAAGTGGGAGACTGCCAAGCCTAGAGACGGAAAAGAAGATTGATTAGCTTGCTGGAAAAATATTTAGCTTTTCTTTTTCTTTTCTTTGCCTTTTTTTTTTTTTTTAGGGGGCATGAGAATAACATGAAAAAGAGATAGTGTCCTCTTTGGCACAAGGCTAGTGGCTTACCTTTGAGTCTGTATTTTGGTTTCAAGCAAGCCATCATCATCTACTTACTGATAAATCCAAGGGGGTGGTGGCCTCACTCTGTTCTAGCATTGTGTTTGGAAGTGGTCTGGAGCCCAGGCTGGAGGTGAGCAGCAGCCTATTCCCCTGTTCAGTTTCCCCAGCCAGCCATGACTTTTAAACTGCAGTGGGACAGGCAGCCAATAGAAGTGGGTTGGGGCTTTCTCTTTCTTTTCAGTTCATTTTTTGCCCTGCTGGGTATTAGGAGCCAGACACTAAGCCCCAGGACATTGTTACTTCTTCTGCATGATGTATGGTGGACTCCCTTTGCTGACTTTTGCAGCGATGCTGAGAGAATACGTGAACAGAAACTTCCCAGGTTGGACAGCATGTGACCTAGCAAGCAACCTTGCTCCTTTCCAGGAGCAGTGGTTCAGGGTGCACCTCTGTCTCTAGGTCTCCAGGATCCCTTGGTCCCTGGGGGTAGGGACTGATTTAGCACAAGGTAACATGTGCCAGTGCTATTTGTGAAATGTACGGTCTTACTCTAAATGACTAATGGATTTGTTTGGGTTTTTCACTTAAGTTTTGAACCAAATCCTAGAGCCAGCTGATACTATTTAATAATCTGAGGATAGAATAATCGTGTATCAATAAATGGAGGTTCCTCCTTATGACGTATGCTAGATTATGGAAGATGTAAAATATTTGACCTTCCCCCTCCCTTTTTTTGACTGTATTTTGCTGCATGTTTCCTTCATTTTTAATCAATAAAGAGTAAATTGTCTGTGGAGGTGTAAGGATTCTTTACTTCAGTGCTTGGTGGTGGGGAACAGTAAGGAGTGGGTCAAGGAGTCACTACTAAATTTTTCACACAAATGGAGAAAAGCCAAAGTGCACATAAACTAAAAAATATGTGTATTGATCTACATATTATCTAGAACAGCTTAAAACCATTGTACAAGTGGGGAAACTGAAATCCCAAAAGGGAGAGATAAGATATGGCCAGAGAAATTTCATAGGGTAGGGCGTGAAACTCCTTGTACTGATCTTTTCTGTTTGATTCTGTTTATGCTGTTGGATAGGAGAAAGAGGCCACATTCAAGCCTTTGCGAGTCTCTTTCAGAAAATTCAGAGCAGGGCTGAACTTGTCGGTATGTGACTTTGATATTGAAATGGTGGGGTTACATGTGAGAGTCTAGGCTCCCCTGTATTCCTCCACCTCCCAGATAAGTAATCTTGATCATAATACCTTCTCCACAGAAGGTGTCCTTCTGGGACAGGACTGCTTATGGATCCCTGTAATTCAGAGCTCAGGCATTGACAGGATTGTATCTGAGTGAATTTGCTTTCAAGATAAGCAGGTTGTAAAAGTGGACTCTGAGGTGCCTGGATGGCTAATAATCTCCTTCACTTTAATTAAGTGAATTTAAATTATGATTCCATTTTTCTTCTCAGAGCAGATTGTAAATAATAGCACAGAATTTCAGTTGGAGTAGATAAAATTGTTTGATTAATTAAAAGTTTGACTAATGTTCCTTTTGTGTGAAATATACATAGCAGTTCAAAGTGGAAGAAAAATCTAATCCTGGAGAGGATTGTCATCACAGAACTTGAAAGAAATATTGACTTGATAGTGTCCTATTTTATGCTCAATACAAAATTCCATTTCATTTGATTTCTCAGGAATTTCATATGTCCTTTAAACATGAAAGGTGATTATGTGAGAAGAAAGCTGTCTTATGACCAGAAACCTAAAACTTGAACAAATTCTATAATTTCCATGATGATAAGGGTTACTCCTAGTTTACTGAGCTCCATATTGTACAGATTGCATGCTTTTTGTCCCTTAATTAAAAGACTAAAATCTCAAAAAAAAAAAAAACAGGTTGTAAAAGTAGACTCTGAGGCACCTGGATGGCTTAGTTGATTAAGTAAGTATCCTGCTCTTGATTTTGGCTCAGGTCATGATCTCAGGGTCATGAATGGAGCCCCCTTGTGCGGGCCCCATCGGGCTCCACCCTCAGGGCAGGGTTTGCTTGAGATTCTCTCCTCTGCCCCTCCCCCCTCTCATGCACTCTCTCTCCCTCTCTCTAAAATAAATAAAATTCTTTTTTAAAAAGTGGCCTCGGACTATTGCTGGGACCGAGGAGGTGGTAGTTACTCAAAAGTGACTGTGGTGTATGTCGGGGGAGGTGGCAGGGCAAGAATAGAGTCTCTCTGTTGCCCATTCTCTAACAAGATAGGATGTCAAGAGCCTGATTCCTTAGCTCTACCTCCTCATAGTAGCAATTCTCAGTGCAACAATTCATGGATTTCTCCTTTAGATCAGCTCATCTACACCACACTTATTGCCTTTTTTTTTTTTTAAATAGACTTCATTTTTTAGCGTAGTTTTAGTTTCACAGTGAAATTGAACAGAAAGTATACAGAGTTCCCACATACCCTTTGACCCCATCTACGCACAGCTTGCCTCACTGTCAACAACCTGCGCCAGAGTGGTACACTTGTTACAATCAATGAACCCACATTGACATCATTATCACCCAAAGATAATAGTTGACATTCAGGTTCACTCTTGGCTGTTGTACATTCTAGATATTTAGACAAGTGTATAGTGACATGTATCCATCATTATATAAAATAACTTCACTACCCTAAAATCCCCTGTATTCCACCTGGCCGGCCATCTCTCCCCTCTAGTCCCTGGCAACCACTCATCTTTTTAGCGTCTCCATAGTTTTTTGCCTTTTCCGAAGTGTCATGTATTTAGAATCCTACAGTATGTAGCCTTTTTAGAATGGCCTCTTTTGCTTGGTAATATGCACTTACAGGTCTACATTGTGTGTGCGCGTGCGCGTGTGTGATTTAATACTTTTTTTAAAGCTGAATAATGTTCCATGTCTAGATGTACCACAGTTCATTAATCCATTTACCTATGGTTTGCTTTCAAGTTTTGACAATTACGAATAAAGCTGCTGTAAACATCTATATGGAGGTTTTGTGTGGATATGAGTTTTTAACTCCTTTTGTTAATTACCCAGGAGCCCAATTGTGGATTGTATGGTAAAGGAATAGTTTCATAAGAAACTACCAGTTGTCTTCCACAGTGACTATACTATTTTGCATTCCCACAAATGACTGAGAGAGCTTCTGTTGCTCTACATCCTTGCCACCATTTGGTGATGTCAGTGTTTAAGACTGGCAATTCTAATAGGTATGTAGTGATACCTTGTTTTAATTTGCAATTCTTTAATGAGATTATGTCGAACATCTTTTCATATGTTTATTTGCCTTCTGTATACTTAAGTGAGGTGTCTGTTCAAGTCTTTTGCCCATTTTTAATAAGACTGTTTTCTTATTTTAAGAGTTCATTGTATATTTTGTATAAAAGTCTATCAGATACAAGCATACCTCATTTTACTGCACTTTGCTTTATTGTGCTTTGCAGATAATACGTTTTTTACAAGTTGAAGGTGTGTGGCAACCCTGCATTGAGCCTGTGTCCTAGTGCCATTTTTCCAACAGCATTTGCTCACTTTGTGCCTCTGTGTCAATAAAGTATATTTTAATTAAGGCATGTATATTGTTATTTTAGACACAATGCTATCACACACTTACTATACTGCCACATAGTGTCAACATAACTTTTATATGCAGTGGGAAACCAGAAAAGTCATTTGACTGCCTTTATTGCTATGTTGGCTTTATTGCAGTGACCTTCAACCCAACCCTCATTATCTCCAAGGTCTGTCTTTTTATGTCTTTGTAAATATTTTCTCCAGTCTGTGGCTTGTCTTTTTTTTTTTTTTTTTTGGCAAAGCAGGAGGTTTTGATCCTAATGTAGTCCAGCTTATCTATTATTTCTTTTTTTTTTTTTTTTTTTTTTTTAAAGATTTTATTTATTTATTTGAGAGAGAGAACACATGAGAGGGGATAGGGTCAGAGGACGAAGCAGACCCCCCGCCGAGCAGGGAGCCCGATGCGGGACTCGATCCCGGGACTCCAGGATCATGACCTGAGCCGAAGGCAGTCGCTTAACCAACTGAGCCACCCAGGCGCCCTTATCTATTATTTCTTAAATGGATCATACCTTGGTGTGGTATCTTAAAAAATCCTTACCATACCCAGGTTCATCTAGATACTTGTTTATGTTATCTTCTAAGAGTTGTATAGTTTTGAATTTTACATTGAGGTTTATGATACCTTTTGAATTAATTTTCTTGAAGAGTATAAAATCTGTATCTAAAAAAATAAATAAAATCTGTATCTAGAGTTATTTTTTGGCCCATGGGTGTTCAGTTGCCTTTGGGTGTCCAGCACCATTTGTTGAAAAGCCTTTTCTTCCTCCATTGTATTGCCTTTGCCCTTTGGTCAAAGATCAGTTGAATCTATGAGTCTATTTTTTGTCTCTATATTCTGTTCCATTGATATGTTTATTCTTTTGCCAATACTGTACTCTCTTGATTACAGTAGCTTTATATAAGTCTGAAGTCAGATATTGTCAGTCCTTTTACTTTGGTCTTCTCCGTCAGTATTGTGTTGGCTATTCTTTTTTTTTTTTAAAGATTTTATTTATTTATTTGAGAGAGAGAGGATGAGAGAGAACACATGAGAGGGGATAGGGTCAGAGGGCAAAGCAGACTCCCTGCCGAGCAGGGAGCCCAATGCGGGACTCGATCCAGGGACTCCAGGATCATGACCTGAGCCAAAGGCAGTCGCTTAACCAACTGAGCCACCCAGGCGCCCTGTGTTGGCTATTCTTGGTCTTTTGCTTCTCCATATAAACTCTAGAATCAGTTTCTCAATTTTCACAAAAACTTACTGGGATTTTGATTGGAATAGTTCTCAGTCAACAGATCAAGTTGGGAAGAACTGACAACTAGCCATGAACATAGAAATCTCTCCATTTTCAGTTCATTGATTTTCTTCATCAGAATTCTCTAGTTTTCCTCATATAGATCTTTTACATATTTGTTAGATTCTATTTCATTTTGGGGCTGCTAATGTAAATGATATATTGTATTTTTTTATCAAATTCCACTTGTTTGTTGTTGGTATATAGGAAGTGATTAGCTTTTGTATCTTAACCTTATATCCTGCAAACTTACTATAAACTTAGTTTCAGGAGTATATTTGTCAATTCTTTTGGGTTTTCTAATAGATACTAGTGTCTGGTGGATAATCCTGTCATCTGTAAACAAATATCATTTTCTTTCTTCCAAATCTATATATACCTTCATTTCCTTTTTTTTTTTTAAGGTTTATTTATTCATTGGCACGCATATGCAAGTGGGGGGAGGGGAAGAGGATGAGGATCTCAAGCAGACTCTGCACCAAGCATGGAGCCGAAAACGGGGCTCAATCTCAAGACCCTGAGATAATGACCTAAGCCAAAATCAAGAGTTGGACTCAATCGACTGAGCCACCCATGTGGCCCTCATCATATTGCGTTAGCTGGGATATTTAAATAGAATGTTGAAAAGCAGTGGAGGGAGAGGATAGTCTTGTCTTGGTCCTGATTTTAGTGGAAAAGCTTCTATTTTCTCATTCTTTTTTTATATAACATTTTAATTTAAATTCAATTAATTAACAATGTATTATTTGTTTCAGGGTTACAGGTCTGTGATTCATCAGTCTTACATAATACTCAGTGCTCATTACAACACATACCCTCCCTGATGTCCATCACCCAGTTACCCCATCCCACCATCCCTGCCCCTCCAGCAACCCTCAGTTTGTTTCCTATGATTAAGAGTCTCTTATGGTTTGTCTCCCTCCCCTGGTTTCATCTTGTTTTATTTTCCCCCTCTTCCCCTATGATCCTCTGCCTTGTTTCTTAAATTCCACATATCAGTGAGATCATATGATAATTGTCTTTCTCTGATTGACTTTTTTCACTTAGCATAATACCCTCTAGTTCATCCATGTCATTGCAAATGGCAAGATTTCATTTTTTGATGGCTGCGTAATATTCCATTGTGTGTGTGTGTGTGTGTACACACACACATATATACCACATCTTAGCATTTATCTGTTGATGGACATCTGGGCTCTTTCCATAGTTTGGCTATTGTGGACATTGCTGCTATAAACATTGGGGTGCAGGTGCCCCTTTGGATCACTACATTTGTATCTTTGGGGTAAATACCTAGTAGTGCAATTGCTGGGTTGTAGGGTAGTTCTGTTTTCAACTTTTTTTTTTTTTTTTAGATTTTTATTTATTTATTCATGAGAGACAGAGACAGAGAGAGAGAAGCAGGCTCCCAAGGAGCAGGGAGCCTGATGCGGGACTCGATCCCAGGACCCTGGGATCATGACCTGAGCCGAAGGCAGACGCTTAACCATCTGAGCCACCCAGGCGCCCCTATTTTCAACTTTTTGAGGAACCTCCATACTGTTTTCCAGAGTGGCTGCACCAGCTTGCATTCTCACCAACAGCATAGGAGGGTTCCCCTTTCTCTGAATCCTCACCAACATCTGTCATTTCCTGACTTGTTAATTTTAGCCATTCTGACTGGTGTGAGTTGGTATCTCATTGAGGTTTTGCTTTGTATTTCCCTGATGCCGAGTGACGTTGAGCACTTTTTCATGTGTCTGTTGGCTATTTGGATGTCTTCTTTGCAGAAATGTCTGTTCATGTCTTCTGTCCATTTCTTGATTGGATTATTTGTTCTTTGGGTGTTGAGTTTGATAAGGTCTTTATAGATTTTGGATACTAGCCCTTTATTTGGTATGTCATTTGCAAATATCTCCTCCCATTCTGTTGCTTGTATTTTGGTTTTGTCTGTTTCCTTTGCTGTGCAAAAGCCTTTTATTTTGATGAAGTCCCAGTAGTTTATTCTTGCCTTTGTTTCCCTTGCTTTTGGAGACGTGTCTAGCAAGAAGTTGCTGTGGCTGAGGTTGTAGAGGTTGCTGCCTGTGTTCTTAAAGATTTTGATGGATTCCTGTCACACATTGGGGTCTTTCATCCATTTCGAGTCTATTTTTGTGTATGGTGTAAGGAAATGGTCCAGTTTCATTCTTCTGTTATGGCTGTCCACTTTTCCCAACACCATTTGTTGAAGAGACTGTCTTTTTTCCATTGGATATTCTTTCCTGCTTTGTCGAAGATTAGTTGACTGTAGAGTTGAGGGTCCATCTCTGGGTTCTCTATTCTGTTCCATTGATCTATGTGTCTGTTTTTGTGCCAGTACCATACCATCTTGATGATGACAGCTTTGTAATAGAGCTTGAAGTCCGGAATTGTGATGCCACCAGTTTTGGGTTTTCTTTTTCAACATTCCTCTGGCTATTAGGGGTCTTTTCTGGTTCCATATAAATTTAAGGATTATTTGTTCAGTTCTGTGAAAAAAGTTTGATGGTATTTTGATAGGGATTCCATTGAATGTGTAGGTTGCTCTAGGTAGCATAGACATTTTCACAATATTTGTTCTTCCAATCCATGAGTATGGAACATTTTTCCATTTCTTTCTGTCTTCCTCAATTTCTTTCATGAGTATTCTATAGTTTTCTGAGTACAGATCCTTTGCCTCTTTGGTTAGGTTTATTCCTAGGTATCTTATGGTTTTGGGTGCAATTATAAATGGGATCAACTCTGTAATTTCTCTTTCTTCTGTCTTGTTGTTGGTGTATAGGAATGCCACTGATTTCTGTGCATTGATTTTATATCCTGCCACTTTACTGAATTCCTGTATGAGTTCTAGCAATTTTGAGGTGGAGTCTTTTGGGCTTTCCACATAGAGTATCATGTCATCTGCAAAGAGTAAGAGTTAGACTTCTTTCCTGATTCGGATGCCTTTTATTTCTTTTTGTTGTTTTATTGCTGAGGCTAGGACTCCTAGTACTATGTTGAACAACAGTGGTGATAGTGGACATCTCTGCTGTGTTCCTGATCTTAGGGGAAAAGCTCTCAGTTTCTCCCCATTGAGAATTATATTCGCTGTGGGTTTTCATAGATGGCTTTTATGATTTTGAGGTATGTACCCTCTATCCCTACACTCTGAAGAGTTTTAACCAAGAAAGGATGCTGTACTTTCAAATGCTTTTTCTGCATCTATTGAGAGGATCATATGGTTCTTGTCCTTTCTTTTATTTATGTAGTGTATCACATTGATTTGTGGATATTGAACCAACCTTGCAGCCCAGGCATAAATCCCACTTGGTCGTGGTGAATAATCCTTTTAATGTACTGTTAGATCCTATTGGCTAGTATTTTGTTGAGAACTTTTTCATCCATGTTCATCAGGGATATTGGTCTGTAATTCTCCTTTTTGATGGGGTCTTTGTCTGGTTTGGGGATCAAGACAATGCTGGCCTCATAAAGTTTGGAAGTTTTCCTTCCATTTTGATTTTTTGAAACAGCTTCAGAAGAATAGGTATTAATTCTTTAAGTGTTTGGTAGAATTCCTCTGGGAAGCCATCGGGCCCTTGGCCTCTTGTTTTTGGGAGATTTTTTATTACTGCTTCAATTTTCTTGCTGGTTATGGGTCTGTTCAGGTTTTCTATTTCTTCCTGGTTCAGTTTGGTAGTTTAGGAATGCATCCATTTCTTCCAGATTGTCTAATTTGTTGATCTATAGTTGCTCATAATATGTTCTTATAATTGTTCGTATTTCTTTGGTGTTGCTTGTGATCTCTCCTCTTTCATTCATGGTTTTATTTATTTGGGTCCTTTCTCTTTTCTTTTTGATAAGTCTGGCCAGGCGTTTATCAATTTTATTAATCTTTTCAAAGAACCAGCTCCTAGTTTCATTGATCTGTTCTACTGTTCTTTTGATTTCTATTTCATTGATTTCTGCTCTTATCTTTATCATTTCTCATTTCCTGCTGGGTTTAGGTTTTATTTGCTTTTCTTTCTCCAGCTCCTTAAGGCATAGGGTTAGGTTGTGTGAGATCTTTCTTGTTTCTTGAGAAAGGCTTGTAGTGCTATATACTTCCTTCTTAGGACTGCCTTTGCTGCATCCCAAAAATTTTGAACAGTTGTGTTTTCATTTTCATTTGTTTTCATGAATTTTTAAAAATTCTTCTTTAATTTCCTGGTTGACTCATACATTCTTTAGTAGGATGCTCTTTAGCCTCCATGTATTTGAGTTCTTTCCAACTTTCCTCTTGTGATTGAGTTCCAGTTTCAAAGCATCGTGGTCTGAAAATATGCAGGGAATGATCCCAATCTTTTGGTATCAGTTGAGACCTGATTTGTGATCCAGGATGTGATCTATTCTGGAGAATGTTCCATGGGCACTAGAGAAGAATGTGTATTCTGTTGATTTGGGATGGAATGTTCTGAATATATCTATGAAGACCACCTCCAATGTGTAATTCAAAGCCCTTATTCCTTGTTGATCTGCTCAGATGATCTGTCCATTTCAGTGAGGGGGTGTTAAAGTCCCCTACTGTTATTGTATTATTATTGATGTGTTTCTTTGATTTTGTTATTAATTGGCTTATATAATTGGCTGCTCCCATGTTAGGGGCATAAATATTTACAGTTGTTAGATCTTCTTGTTGGCTAGACCCTTAAATTATGATATAGTGTCCTTCCTCATCTCTTATTACAGTCTTTGGCTTAAAATCCAATTTGTCATATATAAGGATTGCCACCCCAGCTTTCTTTTGATGTCCATTAGCATGATAAATGGTTTTCCACCCCCTCTTTGTTGATGTTCTTTACCAAGTTGAGAAAGTTACCCTCTGTCCCTAGATTATTGAGAGTTTTTGTTATAAATGGGTGGTGGATTTTATGAAGTGCTTTTTCTCATGTGATTTTTTTCTTTTTTAGCCTATAGATATGATGGATTATATTAATTGATTTTTGCATTTTGAACCAGGCTCACATATCAGATAAATTCTACTTGGTCGTGGGATATAATTCTTTTTTTTTTTTTTTTACATTGTTTGAATTGATATACTAATATTTTGTTGAGGATTTTTGCATCTTTGTTCATGAGAAATCTCGCTCCAGTTTTCTTGCAAGTCTTTGGTTTTGCTATTAGAGTAATGGCTGGCCTCATAGAATGAGTTTGGATATATTCCCTTAGCTTCTATCTTCTGGAAGAGATTGTAGAGAATTGGTATAATTTCTTTTTTTTTTTTAATTTTTTTTTTAGAGATTTTATTTATTTATTTGCCAGAGAGAGACGCAGTGAGAGAGGGAACACAAGCAAGGGTGGGGGGTGGGAGAGGGAGAAGCAGGCTTCCCGCGGAGCAGGGAGCTGGATGTGGGACTCGATCCCAGGACCCTGGGACCATGACCTGAGCCAAAGGCAGTTGCTTAACAACTGAGCCACCCAGGCGCCCAAGAATTGGTATAATTTCTTAAATGTTTGGTAGAATTCATCAGTGAACTCATTTGGGCCTGGTGATTTCTGTTTTAGAAGATTATTAGTTATTGATTCAGTTTCTTTGGTTGATACAGGCCTGTTCCAATTGTATATTTCTTCTTGTGTAAGTTTTGGCTTGTGTCCTTCAAGAAATTGGTCCATTTCATCTAGGTTATCAAATATGTAGGCATAGAGTTATTTTTAATATTACTTCATGTTTTTAATGTGTATTGGATCTGTAGTGATGCCTCTTTCATTTCTGATGTTAATAATTTTTGTCTTTTCTCTTTTTTTCTTAGTTAGCCTGAATTAGGTTTATCAATTTTATTGATCTTTTCAAAGAATCAACTTTTGGTTTTATTAATTTTCTCTATTATTTTCCTGCTTTCTGTTTCACTGATTTCTCTAATTTTTACTTTTTTTCTTCTGCTTTCTTCGGATTTAACTTGTCCTTCTTTTTCTATTTTCCTAAGGCTTAGAAAGACTGATTTTGGATCTTTCTTCTTTTCAGTGCCATAAATTTCACTCTAGACTCTGCTTTTGTGGCATCCCATTGATTTTATTTTTTTTAAAGATTTTTAAAAATGTATTTATTTGACAGACCAAGAGGGAACACAAGCAGGGGGAGTAGGAGAGGGAGAAGGAGGCTTCCTGCAGAGCAGGGAGCCCAATGTGAGACTCAATCCCAGGACCCTGGGATCACCACCCCAGGTGAAGGCAGATGCTTAATGACTGAGCCACCCAGGCGCCCCTCCCACTGATTTTTAATATGTTGTATTTTCAATTTCATTTCATTCAAAATATTTTAAAATTTCTGTTGAGATTACTTTTTGGTCCCATGTGTTGTTTAGAAGTATGTTGTTTAATCTCCAAGTATTTTGAGATTTTTCATCTATCTTCATTTTGTTGATTTCTAGATTAATTCCACTGTGGTCTGAGAGAAGATATTGTATGATTTTTTTTTTTAAGTTTAAGGTTTTTTTAAGTTTAAGATGTGTGTTATGGCCCAGAATGTGGTCTGTCTTGGTAATGTTCTATGTGAGCTTGAGAGGAATGTGTATTTTGCTATTGTTAGATGAAATTAGTCATAAATGTCAATTGTACCCAATTGATTCATGGTGCTTTCGACTGTGTCCTTACTGATGTTCTTCCTGCTGGTTCTGTCCATTTCTTTTTTTTTTTTTTTTTTAAGATTTTATTTATTTGCGAGAGAGAGAATGAGAGACAGAGAGCATGAGAGGGAGGAGGGTCAGAGGGAGAAGCAGACTCCCCGCCGAGCAGGGAGCCCGATGCGGGACTCGATCCCGGGACTCCAGGATCATGACCTGAGCTGAAGGCAGTCGCTTAACCAACTGAGCCACCCAGGCGCCCAGGTTCTGTCCATTTCTGATAGAGGGTTGTTGAAATCTCCAGCTGTAATAGTGGATTAATATATTTCTCCTTGCAGTTCTGTCAGTTTTTGCCTCATGTATTTTGATCATTTGTTTTTGGTGAATACACATTAAGAATTGTCCTCTTGGACTCAAATAAATAAAATCAGAAATGAAGGAGAAGAAACAACAATACCACAAAAATACAAAAGATTATGAGAATGTTATAAAAAATTATATGTCAATAAGTTGGACAAACTAGAGGAATTATATAAATTCCTAGAAACATATAGCCTTCCAAAACTGAATCAGAAAGAAATAGAAAAGTTGTGCAGACTGATGATTAGTTCTAATGAAATTGATTCAGTAATCAAAAAAAAATCCCAACAAACAAAAGTCCAGGACCAGATGGCTTCATGGGTGAATTCTACCGAACATTTAAAGAGTTAATACCTGTTCTTCTCAAACTATTCCAACAAGAAGAGGAAGGAAACCTTCCAGATTCATTCTATGAGGCCAGCATTATCCTGATATCAAAACCAGATAAAGACACTACAAATAATGAAAACTACCAGCCATTTTCTCTGATGAACATAGATGCAGAAATCCTCAACAAAATGTTAGCAAACCAAATCCAACAATACATTTAAAAAAATCACCAGGATCAAGTGGGATTTATTCTGGGGATGCAAGGATGGTTCAATATTTGCAAGTCAATCAGTGTGATACATCGGATTAAGAAGAGAAAGGCTAAAAACCATACGATCATCTCAGTAGATGTAGAAAAAGCATTTGACAAACTATCCATTCGTGATAAAAAAAATTCTCAACAAAGTAGGTTTAGAGGAAACATCAACATACTTAAGGCCATATATGAAAAACCCACAGCTAACATCATACACAATGGTGAAAAACTGAGAGCTTTTCCTCTATGATCAGGAACAATAAAAGGGTGTCCACTCTCACCACTTTTATTCAACAAGGTACTGGAAGTCCTAGCCACAGCAATCAGAAAAAAAGAAATAAAAGGCATCCAAACTGGTAAAGAGGAAGTAAAACTGTCACTATTTGCAGATGACATGATACTATATACAGAAAACCCTAAAGACTCCACCAGAAAACTACTAGAACTGACAAATGAATTCAGTAAAGTCTTAGGATACAAAATTAATATACAGAAATCTGTTGTATTTCTTTACACTAATAATGAAGTAGTAGGAAGAGAAATTATGAAAACAATCCCATTTACAATTGCACCAAAAATAATAAAATGCCTAGGAATAAATTTAACCAAGGAGGTGAAAGACCTGTACTCTGAAAACTATAAAACATTGTTGAAAGAAATTGAAGATGGCACAAGCAAATGTATCCATGCTCATGGATTGGAAGAACCAATATTGTTAAAATATCCATAGTACTCAAAGCAATCTACAGATTTAGTGCAATCCCTATCAAAATACCAATATTTCTTTATAGAACTAGAATAAATAATCCTAAGATTTGTGTGGAACCACAGAAGGCCCCCAAATAGTCAAAGCAAATAGCCAGATCTTGAAAAAGAAGAACAAAGCTGAAGGTGTTATAATCCCAGATTTCAAAATATACTACAAAGATGTAGTAATCAAAAGTGTAGCCCTGGCACAAAAATAGACACACAGATCAAAGGAACAGAATAGAAGCCCAGACATAAACCCACACTTATATGGGCAATTAATCTATGACAAAAAAGGCAAGAATATACAATGGGAAAAAGACAATCTCTTCAACAAATGGTGCTGTGAAAACTGAACAGCTCCATGCAAAAGAATAAAACTGGACCACCTCTTATACCAAACACAAAAGTAAATTCAAAATGGATTAGAGACCTAAATGTGAGACCTGAAACCATAAAACTCCCAAAAGATAATATAGGCAGTAATGTCCTTAACATCAGCCATGGAAACATTTTTCTAGATCTTTCTCCTCAAGCATGGGAAACAAAAACAGAATTAGACTATTGGGACTATAGTAAAATAAAAAGCTTTTCTACAGTGGGGAAACCATCAACAAAACAAAAAGACAACCTACTGAATGGGAAAAGATATTTGCAAATGATATATTTGATGAGGGATTAATATCCAAAATAATGTGTACAACTCAACATTGAAAAAACAATCCTATTTTAAAATGGGCAGATGACCTGAATAGATATTTTTCCAAAGAAGACCTATAGATGGCCAACAGACACATGAGAAAAGATGCTCAATATCACTCATCATCAGGGAAATGCAAATCAAAACCACAATGAGATATCACTTTACAACTGTCAGAATGGCTAAATTCAAAGAGACAAGAAATAACAAGTGTTGGCAAGGATGTGGAGAAAAAGGAACCCTCATGCACTGTTCATGGGAATGCAAACTGGTGCAGCCACTCTGGAAAACTACAGAGGTTCCTCAAAAAATTAAAAATAGAATTACCATATGATACATTTACTCTACTAACTGGGTGTTTACCCAAAGAAAATGGAAACACTAATTTGAAAAGCACCACTATGTTTATTGCAGCATTATTTTCTAACTAAGATATGGAAGCAACTCAAGTATACATATAGATGAAAGGATAAAGAAGATGTGGTACATATATACAATGGGCTGTTACTCAGCCATAGAAAAGCATGAGATCTTGCCATTTGCAGCAACATAGATGGACCTATAGGATATAATGCTGAGTGAAATAAATCAGAGAAAGACAAATACAATATGATTTCACTAATGTAGAATTTAAGACACAAAACAAATGAAGAACAACAACAACAAAAAGACCACTCTTAAATACAGAGAATAACTGGTGGCTGCCAGAGGGGAGGTGGATGGGGGAAAGGGGGGTAAAATAGTGAAAAAGATTAAGAGTAGATTTACCTTGGTGAGTGCTGAGCAATGTATAGAATTGTTGAATCAGTATATTGTACACCTGAAACTAATATAACCCTGTATGTTAATTATACTTGAATTTTTAAAAAATTGTCCCCTTGGAGTATTGACCCCTTTATCACTATGTAATGCTTTCCTTATCCCTAATAACTTTCCTTGCTCTGAAGTCTGCTTTCTGAAATTGATATAGCTATTCTTACTTTTTGGGGGGATTAGTATTAGCATGATATATCTTTTGCCATTCAGTTACTTTTAATCTGTATGTGTCTTTATATTTAAAGTGGTTTTTTTGTAGACAACATATTGTTGGGTCTTGTTTTTTGTTTCACTCTGACAATTTCTCTTTTACTTGATGTATTAGACCATTATTAACATTTAAAGTGTTTATTAATATAGTTGGATTAACTATATTAACTATATAACCATATTTGTTTTCTATTCCTAGTTTTGTCTTCTTCCCTTTTTCTGCTTTTTGTGGTTTTAACTGAGAATTTTATTTTTTAATATTCTTTTAAGATTTATTTATTTATCTTAGAGAGAGCACATGTGCAGAGGGAGTGTGAGAGAGATAATCCTCAAGCAGACTCCCTGCTGCCTGGATGGGAGACCAGTCCCAGGACCCTGAGATCCTGACCTGAACCTAAACCAAGAGTCAGATGCCCAACTGACTGAGCCACCCAGGCACCCCTTTAACTGAGAATTTTATATGATTCATTTTCTCTCCCTTCTTGGAAGTATATCAGTTGTACTTTTTTTAAGTGGGTGCCTTAGGGTTTTTGATATATATTTAAAATGAATCCATATTCATTTTCAAAGAATACTATACCACTTCCCAGGTAGTATTAGTACCATATAGTAACAAAATAATCCTACTTCCTCTGTCTTGTTCTTTGTATCATTTGTAACATTGTTGTCATTCATACCATATATAGGTGAGTGATCCAAGGGCAATGAATGTATTTATATATACACACTCATATATACGTACTTGCATTGATAATCTAATACAGTCTTGCTATTATTATTGAACAAATGGTTATCTGTTAGATCAGCTGAAAAAAGGAAAAATAAAAGCTTTTGTTTAACCTTCCCTTATTCCTTCTCTGGTATTCTTCTTTATGTAGTTCTATGTTTCTGACTCATTAACATTTTCCTTCTCTATGAAAAACTTCTTTTAACATTTCTTGTAAAGCAAGTCTATTGGTAACAAATTTCTTCCATTTTTTTATCCTTCACTTTTGAGGGATAATTTCACAAGACAGAATTTTAGGTTAGTGGTCTTTCCTCAACACTTTAAATATTTCATCCCTCTCTCTTCTTGCTTGCATGATTTCTGAGAAGTGGATGTAATTCTTATATTTGCTCCTATATAGGTAAGGTGGGGGGGTTCCCTCCCCTCTGTCTTCTTTCAAGATATTTTCTTTAACTTTGATTTTCTGCAGTTTGAATGTGATATGCCTAGGTGTAGTTTTGGCATTTATCCTGTTTGGTGTTCTCTGATCTTTCTAAATCTGTGGTTTGGTGTCTGGCACTAATTTGGAGAAATTCTGTCATTATTGTTTCAAATATTTCTTTTCTTTCTTCTCCTTGCTGCTTTTTTCCCAGTATGCCCATGTTATAACCTTTGTACTTGTTTCACAATTCCTGTATATTCTGTATGTCCCCCTTCCCCATCTTTTTTCCCCCTTTTGTTTTTGAGTTTTGGAAGTTCCTACTGACATATTCTCAAGCTCAAAGAGTCCTTCAATAGCTTTGTCCAGTCTACTAATGAGCCCATCAGAGGAATTCTTCATTTGATTGCTCACATTTTTTTCTTTGTTAGAATTTTCATTATTCTCCTTACAGTACCTGTCTGCTATTGCATGTTGTCTACTTTTTCTATTAGAGTCCTTAGCATGTTTATATATTTTTAAACATTTCCAATCTGATCATTCCAATATCCCTGTTATATCTGAGTCTGCTTCGGATGCCGGCTTGGTCTCAAACTGTGCTTTTGTCTCTCAGTATGGCTTATAACTTTCTTTTTTTGAAAGCCAAACATGATGTACTGGACAAAAGGGATTCCAGTACATAGACTTGTAGTGATATGGTGATAAATTGTGTGGAAAAGAAAAGCAGTCTATAGTCCTGTGATTAGGTCTCAGTTTTTAACAAGCCCGTGTCTCAGCTGTGAACTACACAAGTGCTTCTCAGTCTCCCCTGCTGCCTTAAATGGGACAGGATGGCTAGAGGGGACTGGAATTGGGTATTTCCTTCCACCATGTGGAAGGCTAGTGGGTGTTAGAGTTGTGTTAACCCCCAGGTTAGTTAAAGTCTGATAAGAACCCCAATAGTTTAGGCTCTGGAGGTTTCTTTTGAGGGTAGGCCCTATTAAGAAGTACAGAATGCTCTCATATTTCAAAATGGTTACTCTTTCCCTCCCACTGCTGAAAGCACAGGAGACTTTTCCATGCTATTCACCGTGAGAACCTGGCAGAGCTCCTGGAGGTAACACTTACAAAAGTGTGGGGACTCTCCCCTTTGGAGTTTCTTGTTTTTTGGTTTTTTAAAGATCTTATTTATTTGAGAGAGAGCAGACTCCCTGCTGAGTGGGAAGTCCCATACAGGGCTCAATCCCAGGACCATGAGATCATGACCTGACCTGAAGTCACACATTTAACTGACTGAGCCACTCAGGTGCCCAGTCCCCTTTGGGGTTTTTAATTCTCAGACTTACCCACTCTGAGCCTCCAGCAATTTGTCAATTATAGTTCAGGTTTTCCTACTCTGACACTGTAGAGTTACTGTAGAAGTTTCTGTTTGTGCATTTCTTTTCCAGTAAGTTGTAATTCTCTGGGTTTACCTGTCTTTCCAGTTTTAGAGACAGCAGTTTGCCCTGTGACCTTGCTTCCTTGATGGACCTAGAAGAGCTGTTCACTTTTCAGTTTGTTCAGTTTTTTACTTGTTAGAACCAGACCAGAAACTGGAAGTCCTACCTCCAGTTTTTATTTACTAGCATCATTAATTCTCCAATTTGGAAGAGATTTGAGATACCATCTAGTGCATTCCTACAGGGAATTTTCAAGGACCACCTCCCATTCCCATCCCACCCCCACCCCCAAACACCACCTTCTTCTCCATGGACAGATGAGTGCCAGTGATTGTCCTGAACACTTCCTATAAGGAGAGTGTGTTAAATTGCTCTGGTGGCTCAAAAACTCTTGTTACACCCTCTTTGGTCTTAGTTGTGTACTTGAATGATTGAAGGTATAAGGAGAGAAGGAAGAGGGAGACAGCCTGTAGGTTCCCCCCGAAGGGCCAGAGGCCACCCCAGTCCTATCCTGTAGTCTTCCATAAGGTGGTGGGGGTGACCAGACTGCATTGGAAAGTCAGAGGCCAGCAGTGCCTGTGGATATTGAGCTCATATTCCCATGCTAGTGACACCATGGGGTAAAGAAAGGTTGCTGGGGTGACTGATCCTGGGAGGGCTTCCTCTAAGAAGAGAGCTGACTGTGGGCCTTGAAGCTTCATGGGGACCTTTGACACACTGGTTAGGATTGGGAGCGGGGTTACAAGGAGAAATAAGTTAACCAGAAACTTGAGATTCAAGGAATGTAAAAGTGAAGCCAGGGGCATCCAGCACCTCAATACCAAGATTTAGGAATCATAGTTCTTACTGTGGAAAGTCTTCGGTTATGTCTCTTTCATCTGTCAAGAGTCTCCTCATCGACTCTCTATTTTAGTATCATATATCAAGAAATGGAAGAATCCTTAGAGACCATCTAGTTCAAACTTTCCCTTTACATAGATGGAGAAATTGAGGCCCAGAGGGTTAGTAGGGTGTTAACAAATAAGCAACAGGCCCAAAATGGAGTCACATGTGCTGAGCCCTACATCAGCAAACGAAGGCAATACATAGTTGAAGTTTCAGCCTCTCCCAGGAGTGTGAGCCTTAACTTGTGAGGTAATCTGCCTGGTAGACCCCCACCTTCTCCCAAAGGAAGGTGATCTTGCCAGGAACAATCCAGTCTTTGCTGGAAATTTCCTTTTTCTTCCCCCTTCTGCCTATAAAAGCTTACCATTTTGTAGAGGTCCTTGGACCTCCTTTCTACAGGCGTAATTTGCAGATATGCAGGTTTGATTCCAGACCACTGCAATAAAGTGAATATCACAATAAAGCCAGTCAAATGGATTTGTTGGTTTCCTGGTGCATATAAAAGTTATGATTATACTATGTTGTATTCTATTAACTGTGCAATAGGATTATGTCTTTTTTAAAAAGTACAATAAATAAATAAATAGTACATATATAGCCTCAATTTAAAAATACAGACACAGAGACATGAACAAATGCTGTTGGGAAAAATGGTGACAATAGGCATGCTTATATATACTTATATACTTATATAAGTATAAATATAAGTAAGTACATATATATGTTTTTGAAGTTTCCAGAACCTTGCCCAAAGCTGGCACACAGCAGGTGCCCACCAGATACTAAAAAAAGGAAAAGAAAAAAAAAAGAGAAAGAAAAGACAAACTTGCCAAATCTGGCGGATATCAAAGCTATACTCTAAACCTGTTCAGAGCCTACAGATGGGATCCTGGGAAAAACTGGCAGAAGCTGCCTAAAAGTAAGAATTCTTAGCAGTCAGCTCCCTCCTATCTCTGGTAGAGAGACAAAAATAAAATTTCACATTGTCCTTTTCTAGATCAGGCCTTTGGTTTTTGATCTTTGAGAGTGGTTCTAGATCTTGTGAAGATAATGTCTTGTGTACCCTCTTTGTGTGTATCTCTTGGGTCCCTGGGCTTGTTTAATACTGCCAGCAATATTTACTGTTTATCTCAGTTGAAACCTAACAAGATATTTGAAATGATTTAATAATTCTATGATTAGAAATTCGGCCAAATTGGAAGCTAATATTCAGGGCTTGATAGGATTTTTTAAAGCCTTCTCTCCTAAGCTAAATGTACCCAGAGGGAAATCAGAACATTCCAACATAGGTGTATGGGTGTGTCAGTCTTTCCATACAATTCAGACAACAACCCAGTTATTTGAGGAATTAGAAGCAACTATACTTAACCTACAAATCTTTGCAAGACCAGAAGAGTAGCTCTAGAAACAATTCAAGGTCCACTTGTCCTTTTTGACAATTAACCTCACCTATTCATCTCCAAAGGCTTGTAGGTATTGTAAAATTCTGGCCTTCCAGAGCAAAAGTCCTTGGAGGAATTTGCATTCTTTAGCCATCTTTGAGATGTAAAGTTTCTACCTGTCTTCTCCAGGAACTCTTATCTTGTTATCTGGGTCATCTTCTTGAAATGCAAATTTCAGGGAGGTAATTCTTTTTTTTAATTAACATATAATGTATTATTTGTTTCAGGGGTACAGGTCTGTGATTCATCAGTCTTACACAATTCACAGCACTCACCATAGCACATACCCTCCCCAGTGTCCATCACCCAGCCACCCCATTCCTCCCACCGCCCTCCATCCATTCAGCAACCCTCAGTTTGTTTCCTGAGATTAAGGGTCTCTTAAGGTTTGTCTCCCTCTCTGGTTTTGTCTTGTTTCATTTTTCCCTCCCTTCCCCTATGATCCTGTCTTGTTTCTCAAATTCCTCATATCAGTGAGATCATATGATAATTGTCTTTCTCTGATTGATAGGGAGGTAATTCTTAACAGGAGAAAAAAACTTTAAAAGGGAAGAGGCTTTAAAAATACAAACTGCTACATAAGCTCCCTTGCCCAATACAGTCCACAGCTTCCTTGAGATCCCTTGTCAAGGACAAAGGCAAATCTTAAGTGTCTTCACAAATATCAACAGAAAGAGCTTTGACAGTCTGAGCAGGTAATTATTCCAACTCTTCTTTAAAAGTGAGTGAGTTTTGCATTATTATACCCATCTCATGGTTAAAAACATTTTTTTAAGTTTTTATTTTAATTCCAGTTAACATACAGTCATGACTAAATTTTTTTTAATTTTTTAAAGATTTTATTTATTTATTCATGAGAGACAGAGAGAGAGAGGCAGAGGGAGAAGCAGGCTCCCAAGGAGCAGGGAGCCTGATGCGGGACTCGATCCCAGGACCCTGAGACCATGACTTGAGCCAAAGGCAGACGCTTAACCATCTGAGCCACCCAGGCGCCCATGACTAAATTTTTTTAATGAACATTTTAAGGCCTCTGTTTGTGTCTGTGTATATGTAGATGTGTGGTATTTTCTACTTCTGGATGTCATTGCCACAATTAATTTGCAAAAAAGCTCTATTTAATCAGCTTGAAGAAAATCAAGCATTAATATGAAATAAGGATTTCTAAAACTCTTAGAAATATAAAAACTTAACCCAAATATTTTTCAAGTTCTGTGATCTAGGATTAATCTTTAGTAAATAAAAGCTAGTTTAAGGTTGTTGGTTTAATTAAAACAGGCATGTCTCAGGCGCCTGGGTGGCTCAGTGGGTCAAGCCATCTGCCTTCACCTCAGGTCATGATCCCAGGGTTCTAGGATGAGTCTCCCATCAGGCTCAGCACATTCCCTGCTCAGCGGGGAGCCTGCTTCTCCCTCTCCCTCTGCTGCTCCCCCTGCTTGTGTGCGCAGGTGTGCTCTCTCTCTCTGTGTCAAATAAATAAATAAAATCTTTAAAATAAATAATAATAATAATAGAAACAACTCTGTGGGGCAACCGGATGGTGTGGAGTCTTGGGAGGCCGGCAGTGAGAGAACTCACCCAAGGCAGAACAAAGGAGATAGAAGTTTATTGAATACACCACAGGGAAGCAGTGGGCAGGACAGCAAAAAAGAGGCTGACTGCCTGGGGGCAGTGCTGGGGGCTGTAGGTAAGGAGGAAGGTGAGGAGGTATGGGAAGATATGGAATTTTCCCCTTTTTTGGTACCTGTGTCCAAGTGTAAATAGCCCATTGGTAAACTAGGGCTAGTGGATATTTTGAGGTGAGTCGCCTAATGGGCCTGTTTGCATTCAGCTGGGGGGTTGGGGGTCGCTGTGGGCCCTTCTACCTGATTCAGGTTTCCAGTGCTCAAGCCCACTGCCTAGGAGCAGCCTGTACGATCTCTGCAAGTAGGATGTATGTTTTTGCTAAGAGAAATTATGAGGAATGGAAATTAATTTTTGTCGAGGGAAAAGAAAATAATATTCTTTATACTTAAGCTTTTTTTTTTTCCTCCAGAATGGGAAAGAGAAAAAACACAAGACAAAATATGAAAAGGAAAAAAAAAAACAGAGTAAAAAGGTGGTAGAAGGCTTGTGGAAAAGGAATCTTGGAAAATAATTTCACGTGTGGTCAAACTGGCTAAGATTGGAATGGATCTAATTAAATTGTTAAAATGAATTTTAACATCAAAAGTATACTGGTATAAAATTAGAATTGGTTTCATCTGTTTTAAGGACAAAGTTTTCTTATACTCTCGGTCTGCTCTTTAAGAGATTATAAAAGTTTTTTTTAACCTTTTAAGTAATCTTCCTAGAAAACAAAGATTTTTGTCTTGTCAATATAATTTCTTGTATTTCATATCAGATCTTTGATTACTTAAGAAAATTGAGTCTTCTCCATTAAAAGAGCTAAGGGTTTTTGTTTGTTTTACAATTATTTAACTTTCTGTATTTGCTGGTGAAGTTTCAAATTATCATTAAGGTTAAATAGATAACCAAATATTCTTTCATCCTGAACTATGATCCTATTTGTTTGTAAAACCTTTTGATATTTTTGACAAACTTCACAAAAATCAAATGCTAAATGAAGTCTTTTTTAACCTCAAGCTTACTGTGGGGTATTTCAGAGGGTCCCTGGAACATCTTAAAAGATTTGTTCTTGGGGTCCCTGGCTGGCTCAGTTAGTGGAATGTGTGGCTCTTGATCTCAGGGTCATGAGTTCAAGCCCCTCACTGGTGAGAAGAAAAGGAAGGAAGGAAGGAAGGGGGGGAGGGAGGAAGGAAGGAAAAGTTCTGTTCTCTCTACTTATAAAAAGGGAATTGTTAAACCAATTAGGCTTATTTGATGTTAAATTACAGGGGAAGCATTGTCAAATAAGAAGTGATATACTAAGCCCTTTTAATGTTTTATTTGTATAGTTACCTATAAGTGTTCCAGAAACTGTGAAATTCCTGGAAATCTGATATGTCCTGGTATAATGTTATCAGTCATAATTTCAGTTACTATCTTAAAATGTTGTGTAAAGAAATAACCAAATTTCCTTGTTGATCCATTATAATGAGCTTTCAACCGATCTTTAACTGTGGGCATTGTAAGTCCTCATCATTTACAGACAGTTGTCGTTTCACTCAGATGCTTTTGCCAAAGTGTTTCTGCAAAAGTGCTTCATCTTAGGGCACCTGGGTGGCTCAGTTGGTCAAGCATTGACTCTTGACTTTGGCTCAGGTCATGAACTCAGGGTCACTGAGTGTGAGGCCTACTTAAGATTCTCTTTCTCCCTCTGCCTCTCGCCCTCCCGCACCTCTCCTGTGCAGCACATGCTCTCCCTCTCTCTTAAAAAAAAAAAAAAAAAGTGCTTTATCTTCAAGGAGATTCAGGGAAAGGACTTTGAAAAGTACAGGTTTCTGATAACTTTAAGATCATAAAACAGAACTGGGTAAGGATTTCCAGAACTAATGGAAAAACTAGATTCAAGCAAAACAGTACTAATTACATGGGTCTGAATGAATGTAGGAGGATGATTATAATTTTTTATGACTTTTGTTTGAAACATTGCTGGTTCCTTAATTAAATTTTGTTTTTCCAGATTTAAGGAAACCTTTTCTCTTAAGCTATCTAAGACTTACTTGGTAAAGAACAGCTTTGTAAACAAAGATGAAACATTTACTTTTTCTTCTTGATCCTGATCCCTCCAGAATTCAGAGATTTTTGAGTATTCTTTACATGGCAATATAATTATTTATTTGCATAAGTTCAATAAGAATCTGGTCTCCTTGTAACAGGACATAATTTGAAACATTGGCTATATTACCAATGTTATATTACCTATATTACTGGAATGTCATATGTATAGACTCGATAGGACCAGACAGCTTTAAGGGAGTAAAGGTGACTTTATGAGGCCAATGAAGCCCCTTGGAAAAATCAGCCTGATACTCTGCTTACAGGGTTGCTGGCAGTCTTACCAGGTGAGTAAAGAAGGTTATCTCCTGACAGCCCCAGGAATCTCAAAATATTTTGGGGACCTTGAGAAAGGAGGAATTCACCCAAACCATAGGTATTGCAGGTAAAAATCTAATGATGAGCCCTTGGCTTGGCTTTCTGGCCTCAGAAGCTTTGAAGAGTTCACTATGAGATTCCTTATGAAAAGTTGAAGCAAAGCAGTCTCTAAAAGGAGCTTATATGCTCAATCGTTATTCTTACTGCACTTATAGGAAGAATCAGGCTGAGTTTAATGAATATTAATTTTACTGTGATTATCTTTCATAGAAAAAAATGGAGGTAATTGTAGATAGAAAAGTTACATATGTACCATATAGATGTTAGATTCTAGCCCTGTTAATTGTCTTTGAGGGATTGTTATACACCTGTGAACTAGACTAGATTCTGAATTCTAGTTTCCTCAAGTATCTGGCTACAACTCTCCAAACTAACATTTCCAATTTTCTCCCACCCTTCTGATTTGGAGTCACTTAGAACAAAGTCTGCCCTTGAACCTCCTTGGAAGGGACTATACAAGTCCTCCTCACTACCCAGATGGCAGCCAAACTTCAGGAACTTGGACCTTGGGTCCACATCTCTCAATTAAAAAGGGCTCCTTCAGAGTCCAGGAACTGGAATGTCAGTCCAGCTGCAGTGCTCAAAATCAAACTGATGAGGAAGAGAATGTAGACTGCTTCCACCCAAGACACTGGATCAACACTTATTAACTAGTTTAATTAAACGTGAAACATTTTCTTCTCTTCTTTCCTTCCCTTTACTCTGTATTGGCCTGGAAAGATAACACCATCATCTGTATCTCCTAGGCCATTGCAAAGGGGGGTAACCCTGCAGACTGCTGGATTTGTCATCAAAAGCTCTGACCTGTCCATGATGGTAGAAGGAGTGCTACCTTAGCAGGAGTGGTTTGTGCCCCGACAGGACTAATCTTTGTCTGGGGTGGTTATCATCCTCCTTGGGCCTGTGGATGCCCAGATAGCTGGCAGATAGCTGGGCAGTGCCCCTAGCTGTTCATGAACAGACACCTCACTGGTTGACACCCCTGAATTTACATTGTCAAGTTAGAAAGGACCTACTTGGAGGCTTTCATCATTCATGATTTGCTTCCTTTGGAGGTCCCTGTTTCCCCCAGTTAGGAGCGAACACGAGTGAGGCTATGATCAGGAAACTGTCCTTAACTCTGGAAAGTATTGGCAGAATCTGTGCCATAGCAATAGCTGCCAACAAAGATCCTTAGACTCGCTGGCCAAAGTTGTTCTTGCTAATAGAATAGGCTTTAATTATCTTTTAGCTGAGGAGTGAGGTATCTGTGCTGTGGTCAACACCACAGGCTGTACCCGGATTAGTGCTTCTGGGGAAGTTGAAACTCAGCTAAGTAAGATCACTGAGCAAACCACTTGGCTTAAAAAGGTGGCTCCTTCTATGGGATCTTTTTTTGACTTATTTGATTTTGATTGGTTTGTGTTTTGGGGACCATGGCTCTGAAGTGCACTCCAGACATTGGGAATTACCCTGCTTACAAGAATCATAGTAGTCTCCTTGGCATGCTGTATTCTCTCCAAAGCTTTAAATGCATGTTTGCAGCCACTGACCACCAAGCAAATGATCTCCCTAAGACTGGACTGTCAAAGAAGGACCAAAGAGAATGACCAACTAAAAAACTGTGAACCTGAAGTCATGATCTGTGAACACCAGAGAGACTCAGCAAAAAACATCATGAACTGTGACTGTCACAAAGAGGATAAGTTAAAGCTGTGAGAACTTCAGCACGGTAGCTGAGAGTGGCACAATGCCTTATATTTTGATCCCATCTGTTAGTTAAGCTTAGAGTCTGATCAAAAGGAGAAATTGTGAAAAAAGACATAATAGACTCAAAATAGAGTCACTTGTGCTAAGCCCCATGTCAGCAAACCAAGACTTAACACCTGACCTCATTGCAATTTCAGTCTCTCCCAGGAATGTGACTTTTAACCGAGTCAATCTGGAATTACCTGGTCAGCACTAGTGAGGTAAATCTACTTGATAGACCCCCAATCTTCCCCCAAAGGAAGGTGGCTTTGCCAGAAACATTCACTCTTTGCAGGAAATTTTCTTTTTTTCTGCCCTTTTGTGCCTATGAAAGTCTTCTGTTTTGTACAGCTCCTTGGAGCTCCTTTCTGCTTGCTAGATGGGATGCTGCCCATTTCATGAATCATTGAGTAAAGCCAATTAGATCTTTCAATCTACTCAGATGAATTTTGTTTTTTTAACAAGAGACAGACTCAGAATCATAGTGAATCAGTAGCAGTGCCCAAGTTTCCTGCCTCCTAGCTCCAGCTCCCTTGGCTACTTGAAGCCAAAGAAGCAAAAATCCTCTCCCTGACTGGAGTAGGAAGATGATGCAGGCTGAGGACAGGCTCCTGTCTCCATCTCAGTTCTCTTCCATCGGGGGAGCACCGTATTGGGCAGTGGCAACTGACAGCATCTGTTTTCTTGGTAATTCGGTTGAGGTGATCCTGAGAACAAGCACATGGAAGAAAGCTAGGTAAGGAAGAAAAGATAGAGCTGGGGACAGTGGTGAGACTGGTGGAGAATTCGGGATGGGGCAGAGAGGGAGGTACTCTCCTTACGCTGGGTCATGGGCCCTTGCCTCTGCCCTGCCTTGACCTGCTATGCATGCTGGCTGACTAATAAAAGCCAGCAGCTGGGCTGGCCAGGGGACCAGATACAGGCATGCTGTGTCCAGAACTGCCCCTACAGGCTTGCTTCCTTGCATTCCTTTCACCTCTGCTCCTCAGTCTCTCTTAAAATGGTTCAGAATTCAAACATGAGAAGGCTTTCCCATGCATACAAAGGCAAATATGTGAATGTGTGTGTGCGCATGTGCATGCTGCACATACATGTGTATTTTTCCCTAATGCCATCTTCAGTCCTATCATTCCCCACCTCCCATGACTGAACTAGATGCTTTCCAAGCCCTGGGTCTACCTCCAGTAGACCTCTTCCAGGGTAAAAAGGATGGGGGCTTTTTAATCTTTGGGAGATTCCTCCTCTCGGAGGTCCTGTTATTCTCCAGTCCTGTAAGAATCCTGACCTACCAGCCACCATGTGCCCCATCCCAACCTTGACTCCAGCAGAGACTTCCACAGCTGAGGTTATGATCGAGGGAGACTTTGTCCTGTGTTCCCCTGTTATCACTAAGATTACCTATTATAAATGAAGTTCCCTGCAGCCGCTTGCTTGTGCCTTCTCTTGGTCATGTGTTAATGGTTTCTTCCTCAATTAGAGTAGAGCTCAAAATGCACTCTTGGCTCTTCTGTAATTGCTGTGTGCTCTTAGATTGTCTTCGGTACTGAGGAGGAAAGGCATTTATGCCCTTGGTGGGTCTCTTGGCCTTCTTGATACCCTACCACGTGCCAGAGACCCCTAGGAGAAAGATAAGATCAGCATCATCAAGAGGCCAGATTGGGCTGCTGACTGAGTTAGTATGCAAGCTGGGTCCCTGCTACTCTCCTTACTTACCCCATTGTCTGTTGTGGGCTGGTCCCTAGAAGGGAATTCTGTATCCCTCTGAGTGTTGGAACTACTCTCAGAATTTGGGGTCTAGTCCAGAGTGGACTAGTTCTTCATCATATTCTGTCCTTCCCAGGCTACAGCCAGGGAGTTGAAGTGTGACAGGTCAGGCCAGGCAAGGCTGGATTAAATATTAACACAGCTGTCATTGCTGCTCAGAGGGGCCAGTGCCCCCAAGCCAAGCTGCAGAGCTGTTTGGTGGCCCCAGGCTGACCGGTAGACATGGCTCGGTTTGCCCAGGTCCTGGCTGAAATAGGTGACTTTGGACGCTTCCAGGTACAACTGCTGATACTGCTGAGTATCCCCAACTTCCTGTGTGCTTACTACATGTTTGCCCAGGTCTTCATGATCCAGGATGAGGCCCACCACTGCTCAGTGGCCTGGGTCAAGAACCACACTTTGAACCTGAGTGCTGCCGAGCAGCTGACACTGAGCGTGCCTCTGGATGCTGCAGGCAAGCCTGAGTCCTGCCTCATGTTCCAGCCACCCCCGGACGGTGCCAGCCTGGAGGACATCCTCAGCCACCGCTTCAATGGGACGCAGCCTTGCGAGGCAGGCTGGGAGTATCCTGAGGACAGGCCCCTGTCCCTAAAGAACGAGGTAGGACTGCCCTTCTGCCTGTCTGCCTCTTTGGGGTTGGTCAGCAACTCTGTCTGGTCTTCTGCCCTCAGCGACTGGTCTTGCCACTTCTGCCCTTAAGCACCCATGCCCAAATGATGGACCATTGGAGTGACTTTTTTTTTTTCCTTTTTGCCACTCATCCTGCTTTTCTCTTTGTCCTCCAACTATTGGCCCCTCTCCCTCTCTCCATTTTCTCTGTCTGGTTTGTCTGCCTATCTTTCCATGCATCTTTCCCTATCATTTTGTTTGTCCCTCTGCCTGTCTGCCCAGTTGTCTGCCTTTCTGTCTGTCCCCTCCTGCTTTCCTGTCTTTGTATCTTTCTCTCCATGCAGTGTTCCCATCTATCGGTCCCTTGGCCTTTGTCATTCAGTCGGCCCCTGCGCTCTGCCTGCTTACCTGGCTTCTGGTATCCCTGTCCACTTGTCTGCCCTCCTGCTTGCCTGCCTTCCATGGGCCTCCTGCCTTCTAGCTGCTCTCTCTGGAGCTATGCCCACCCGCCCTCTGCGGCACCGGAGGGCGCAGATGACAGTACCTGCTCTGCTAAACTCGTTTTCTTGGGAAGGATCCAGGCAGATAAACAGATTCCCATTCCAGCCACCTGAGCAAGAACGGCTCCCTGGAAGCATCCATGCCCACTCTGCTGCTTCCCAGAAGCTGGGACTGAGGCGCAGAGGAGAGAGATGATTTGGTCAGGGCAACCCAATGAGCTGATCATGGAGGTGGGGCTCCCACTCAGCTCCCTGCAGGAGCAGGAAAGAGCACAGATGGTCCAGAATCCTGAGGCATGGGCATCGGTGGGGCGGGGGGGTGGGGGTCTGAACAACTCACCTTGATGGTGGTGAATACTGAGCCTTTGTGGAGAGGGGAATCAGAGTCCAGAGGTTCAACATTCATTTTTTTCCCCCCATGAGTAAAAAAGTATTTTATTTTTAGAAGCTTTCAGAGGATGATGCTTTAACCAAAGGCATTCACATTTTTTTTAAAGATTTTTTTTTTTATTTATAAGTTATCTCTGCACCCATTTTGGGCCTCAAATTCACAACCCTGGGATCAAGAGTTGCATGCTCTACCAACTGAGCCAGACAGGTGCCCCAGGCATTCACTTTTTTAAATGTGACCAGAAACTTGCCCCCAGAACCCTTGCAGCCTGAGAATATGTCCTGCTTGTCTTCTTCCTGACCCTCCACCTCATTCTGCCCCACAGGGGTGTAAACAGCCTAGGAGCTCTCCCAGCAGAGCCCAGGCCGGTCCTCACTGGCCTCTCCATGTCCCCGGCATCACCCTCATGGTAGGGCCAGCCTCCACTGGTCCTCAGATGCTATGGGTGCCTACCTCCACGCGTGCTCAAACTCTGCCCACCTGGCCAAAAACCATCCTTAAAGCCAGGCAAACAACCAGACTGCTCGGAGCCAACTCTAGTCCTGTTCATACCCTGTGTCGGACTCTTTGTGTACTTTTATTCAGCCAGAGCTCCCTGAGTGTTTACTGTACAGGGAACAGCCCGAGGAGGGAGGTACCTTATTCTTCTTAACTGAGGGTTTGGGATTCCCCTCTGTCTTTAATCATCAACCTAGCTAGCACTGGGGTTGGGCCTTGGACCTCTTGTCCTTCCCTATCATGTTTCTCCTGCTCCAACCCTCCTGAGGACTTTGATTCTCAAGAGAATGTACGTCTTTGGTACTTTGTGCCCTGCACCAAATGATAACTCCAACTTCGCTTCGAGAGCTACATTGATGTGAGATCTTCTACCTCTGTTTCCCATCTACGAGGAGGGGCTCTGCCACACCAACTCAGAGGACTCTCTGAGCTGACATCCCAACTTCCCTTATTATAACCAGCAGCTTCACAATCAAATTGAAATTCAAACAGGCCTAATTTGAGAAGAAAAGAGCATGCTGCCTTATAGGCTATGTGTTCTTTTTTTTTTTTAAGGTTTTTTTTTTTTTTTTAAGATTTTATTTATTTATTTGAGAGAGAGAATGAGAGAGAGAGAGAGCACATGAGAGGGGGGAGGGTCAGAGGGAGAAGCAGACTCCCTGCTGAGCAGGGAGCCCGATGTGGGACTCGATCCTGGGATTCCAGGATCATGACCTGAGCTGAAGGCAGTCACTCAACCAGCTGAGCCACCCAGGCGCCCTAGGCTATGTGTTCTTAAAGAAGAGAGTATGTTTCTCCTTCTCAGTCTACCTCCCAACATTTCCTGGGGGTCCATCCATGGTAAAAGAAAATATGACTCCCAGCCTTGTCCACATGAACTTCTGAATAGGGAGGAAAATAGACTTGGAGTGAGTAACAACAGTGTGATCCATCCTGGGACCAGAGAAGGGGCAGGAATGGGACGGAAGGGGTATCAGAGAGAATAGCCATTTCTAGGACTGGAGGCATGAAAATGCTTGGCAAGTTTGAGGAATGCTGACATACAAAGAGGTTGGGAAATGGGCAAGAGCCGACTCTTAAACCATCTTAGACACAGAGCTGAGGAATTTGGGCCTTCTCCCAGAGACCAAGGGGAACCACCAAAGCTTTTGGAACAGGGGAGGGAGATGTGACAGGTGTGTACCAAGAATGGGGGAGGGTGTCTGTGTGCCTCTGCGGCAGGCCCCAGACAGAACCATCCACTGTGGGTGTTAGGGCTGGGGAGGTTCATGGCTGGCGTTCCAAGGGGGAGCCCTCTTGTCTCCATTCCCTCTGCAACATGATCCACCACTTCTTGGCACCTCTCCAAGCCTTGGTCTCTGTGGCTGCACAGTGGGAATGATAAGCCTTTATGTGGTTAAAATGAGGATTTAATGAAATAAGGGGTATATAAACTATAAGGAGGTGGGGCATGGTCACCACTGCGTAGGGGCACCAGCCTTGGATTGGCACCCATGCCTTCAGTCTGAGATGTCTGTCACCAGCTGTGACTTTCATGAGCACGGTGGCCAATGCACCCTCTGCTGAGCTAACATTTACTGAGGGCTTCCTGGGTGACAGCCACTGTGCTGATAAGCATGTTACACGTGTCAATGCCTTTATTCCTATTGGGGGACACTACATAGTATATTTTATCCCCATTTTGCACATGGGAAACCAAGGCACCAACAGATGGGCTAACAGCCTCAAAGTCACACAAAGTTGCTCAGTTCAGACTCCAGAGGCTGACAGCAGCAGGCCTTTATTTATTATTTATTTTAAAGAGTGTCTAACTACAAAGGCAATCTGTGGTTGCTAAATAAAACCAAACAAACTAGAACTAGGTGGAACAAGTTCAAATCCCCTGTCCTGCCTCACTTCATTCCCAGGGGCAAGCAGTTAATCATTTGACATAATATTGAAAATTAACAGTTGTTGAGAACAGCAGTATGAGCACAATGGTATCTCCTGATTAATTTCTTGCTAAAAGTTATTTTGACTGATGATGATTGGCTAGTTGTCTAGCTGTAGGTATTAGTTCATTTATTGATTCATTCAGTAAAAATTCTCTTCACTTTTACTCCGTTTCAGTCCTTGTCTGGGGCAAAAGGGGATGTCTGAACTCCATTGCCATCCAGCAGTGGGACCTAGGATAATGTGTGTAACCCCTCCTCGCCCAGGGGAGTGTACTAGCAAATCAAGGATTGTTGTCAGAATTAGATAACACATGTGAAGCATTTAGCAGACTACCCAACACAGAGTGAGCCCTCCAAAGGCATTAGTCATTGTGAAGCTATCTCCATGATATCTCCTGTGGAGGAGAGCTCATGAGTCTGTTCCCCTTGCAAACATTCATGAATGGAGCTGAGCTGTGAGCAGGGGGCACAGAAGTCCCTGATGGTCCCACAGACCAGTGGGGGTGGGGGTCAGTCACACAGGCTTCCTGTATGCACACCTGCAGTAGACGTGTGCGGAGTTATCTGGACATGCATATTTTCTCCACTCAGTTTCTCAGTCCATCTGTTAGGTTCTCTCTGTGAGTCTCCAGGTGGGTTGCCCCATCTCCGTGTGTGCATGCGAGTGAATGCCTACACACACGTGCATGTTCTTCCATCCTAATCTTCTGCAAGTGGCGTGTGAGGGCTCCTTGGGATTCTCACCGCCTGTGAATGATTAGAGTTTCAGAGAGATTTTGCAGCCAGATGAGAAAATTTGAAGAGGCCCAAGTAGGTCACAGGGGTGCTCTGGCTGTGGGGAAGAGGCCCCATTTGTCAGGAAGCAGCAATAAGTCCTGTATCAGAGGTTCCAAACTTTGGATTCTTAATGTGTCAGTAGTTCTCTATATCGTCTCCAGGCCAAAAGAAAAACCTAACAGTTTTATGTATTAACTAATTAGGTCCAAACAATTTAATAAGTAATTATGTTTCAACAACTTAGTAGCTGTTTTAAGGAATAATATGCACGCAGGGCGCCCGGGTGGCTCAGTTGGTTAAGCGTCTGACTTCGGCTCAGGTCATGATCTCAGGGTCCTGGGATTGAGCCCCGTGTCCTCAGGCTCCTCGCTAGGCAGGGAGTCTGCTTGTCCCTCTCCCTCTGCCCCTCCTCCCTGCTCATGCTCTCTCGCTCTCACAAATAAATAAAATCTTAAAAAAAAAAAAAATAACACATGTAAACTGAGAGAAAATATTTTTCATTTTTAAATAAATACAATCAACTACTAATGGGATGTATGTACCTATTGAGAGCTGCACGACGTCTCCATCCTTGAACATTTTCCGCTCCACATGGTGCTTGCTTTTTTCAAAACAACTGCCAGAAATACAGCTTCACATAGATATGATGTCACTGAAAGGAATGTGGCATGATCTCATGTTGAAACAGAACTGTCCTTACTTGGCAGTTCTTGTAATATCAGATGGATGTTAAGTATTGATTGCTATATTTCCCTTTAAAATGTCAGATATTGTTCATTGACACACACAGACTGGTGTCCTAGGGTGCCTTTGCGCACAGTTCGGGAACCATGGGCATCTGTCCCAAGAGTTTTGTAAGTGGGTGGGCTAGATGACAAAGGACTTGCTGTCAGCTGCCCCAAGTTCACATCTGCCTGTGTCTGCCTCAGTTCAACCTAGTGTGTGATCAGAGGCACCTGAAGGAGACCTCACAGTCGGTGTACATGGCCGGGCTCCTCGCTGGGTCTCTCATCTTTGGGCCTCTCTGTGACTGGTAAGAACCTTGACCAGCTCACCCCCGCCCTAGCACGCTCCTGTGCTCCTGGCACGGTTTCCCTCCATGCCCTTCACTGGTGCCCAGGATAGGGCAATGCGTCCTCTGTCAGCTAGAGCACCCAGGGCAGGCCTGGGTCTCCCTGCCTTTCTTCCCCTCAGAGACGGGCCCTCACGGCCCTGCCCCTTTGTTACCCCAGGATCGGCCGCAAGGCCACTATCCTGGTGCAGCTACTCCTCCTCGCCCTCATCGGCCTGACCACGGCCTTTGTGCCCAGCTTCGCGCTCTACATGGTCCTGCGTTTTGCCGTGGCTACTGCTGTCGCTGGGTACACCTTCAGTAATGTGACCCTGCGTGAGTATCTGGGTCCTGAAGCCTTGAGCCATGACGTGAGGCCTTGGGGTCTGAGTGGGCCACGCGCCCAGACTGCCTGTGGGAGCCTTGTCAGGCACCCATACCACAAGTGGTCACACACAAGGGGGACTGAGGCCCACGTGGACAGAGGGGCATCCAGGGAGTGCCAGGGAGGGAGAGGGCAGGGGCTGGCCCACCCTCAACCTCTCTGCACAGTTACAGAGTGGGTGGGGCCCTCGAGGCGGACTCAGGCCGTGGTCCTGGCCCAGTGCGCCTTCTCCATGGGGCAAATGGCGCTAGCAGGACTCGCCTATGGCATCCGGAACTGGAGGCTTTTCCAAATAGCTGGCACGGCACCGGTCTTGCTGCTCTTCTTCTACTTCTGGTGAGGAGGTACTTCCCAGGAGCAAGCCACCCCCAGGCTAGTTGTGCGGAGGTGTGGTTGGAGCGTAATACTCAAATTCACCTCACGGGACACTCCAAAGTGCAAGGGGTGTGGGGTTCCGTATGCACTGGAGCCCTTGGGGGAGTGGGGGGCTCCGCGGTCACAGCCATTCCGGACTTGCAGGGCTCTGCCAGAGTCAGCTCGGTGGCTTCTGACCCGGGGGAGGGTAGAGGAGGCTAAACAAGTGATCCAGAAGGCAGCCTCGGTCAACAAGCGGAGAGTCTCCGCAGAGCTCCTGAGCCAGGTACTTCTTACAGGCTGAGCTCAGCCCTGCCCCTGCCCCTGGCCTGCACAGGCCTTTCTGCCTGGCCCCTCACTGTGCATCTCCCTACCAGCTCGTCCCAGAGAAGACAGGCCCCTCAGGGAATGCCCTGGATCTGTTCAGGCACCCCCAGCTCCAGAAGATGACCCTGATCCTCTTCTGTGTCTGGTGAGTACACCAGGGCCCAGGCCAATCCCCCCCCGCCCCCCGCCCTACCCACCCCCCACCCCCCCACAGGCTCATGCCCAAGGCCCTGAGGCAGCTGGGGGATGGTGACTGACTGTCTGTCAGGGACGACTGTGTGGCATGACTGGTTTCTCCTTGGCTGTGCTCCTGTCTCCTGCCGGGACTCCCTCTCCGGCAGGCTCCCCCTGAGAGTGATGGTTTCTCATCACCCAGCAGTCACAGGGATTCCTGGACACTTTGTAGGTTTGTGGACAGCCTGGGCTACTTTGGCCTGAGCCTCCAAGTCGGTGACTTTGGCCTGGACATCCACCTGACGCAGCTAGTCTTCGGAGCAGTTGAGGTGCCTGCCCGCTACTCCAGCATCTTCATGATGCAATGGTTGGGCCGCAAGTGGAGCCAGATGTTGACTCTGGTTCTGGGTGGCCTCATGTGTATTGCCATCATCTTTGTCCCAGCAGGTACCAGGGCTGGCTCTCCCACACCCGTGTCTCCCCCCCCCGCCTGCCCCAGCTACCAGAAGCCCATCGCCTCCCTTCCAGGAGCGAGGGCTCCCCTGGGGTCTGGGAGCAGATGGGCGTCTGGGAGGGCAGGGCAGGGGCGGGGCCCAGGGTGTGGGCTGTCTCCCGGCACGTGGCTGACCAGCATCCTCCACCAGATCTGCCAGTGGTGGTCACTGTGCTGGCTGTGGTGGGCAAGTTTGCCACGGCCGCCAGCTTCACCATCTCGTACGTGTACAGTGCCGAGCTCTTCCCCACCGTCATCCGGTAAGGGCTGCTCCTCTGCCCCGACACCCTGACCTTGGCCGTGCCTCTCTGCCCTCACCACTGTTCCACAGACCGCTTATGAGGCTGGCTCGGGCAGCAGTGCTGGGGCCGCTACAGTCTAGTCCCCATGTTATCCTAGGCAGTGGAGGGCAGATACAGAAGTAGGCCATGCCCTGGCCTTGTCAAGACCGGGGTGGAGGAAGTCTAAGAATGAACGGCTGAGAAGGACGACTCAGGTGGAGGTTGGGGGGTTAGGCAGGAGGTATAGTCTTTGATCTGAGATTTGGCAGGTGAGCAGGAGGGCAGCAAATAGTCAGGCCTAGAGGTGGGAGAAGCATGGCACCCGGCTGGACAGCAAGCAGTTAGTGTGGGGAAGCGGAGACAAAAGGCTGGCAGGGCCGGGCGAGCCGAGGGAGCCGGTGGGGCCATAATGAGGGCCTGGGCTTGCCCAAGGTAGAGCTGGGGTGGAGCTGTGGCCTGGAGTTGAGGCTGGGTCCACTCAGCTTGTACTGGCCTTCCCCCAGGCAGACGGGCATGGGGCTGATGGGCATCTTCTCGAGGACTGGGGGTATCCTCACCCCTCTTGTGATCCTGCTGGGCGAGTACCAGGCGGCCCTCCCCATGATCGTCTACGGCAGCCTCCCTGTTGGGGCAGGCTTACTCTGTGCCCTGCTGCCGGAGACGCGTGGCCAGCCCCTGAAGGACACCATCAAGGACCTGGAGCAGGGGCCCCACCCTCGGTGAGCTGCTTGCTTTCTCTGAAGCCCAGACCGCCACCTCAGCATGTGTGCACTGTTGCGTAGAGCCCAGAGGGGCCCTCAGGAGCCACAGACATCTGACTGACTTTGGGCCAGGGGAGGGGTGGTGAGGGACTTGGCGGTGGGACTAATTCTTGGCCAGTCAGTGATGGCCTCCTGTTCCCTCCAGGCCTCCAGAGTCAGCACCTTCAGGAAAGGAGACAGAGGCCTCAGGAAGAACTTCCAGCCCAGGGGTGACTTTTGTGAGCAGTACGTACTTCTGATTGTGTCTCTTGAGCCCGAGTGGCAGCAGGAGCTGCCTGAACACCCCCTGGAAAAGGCTGGGCCTGCCCAGGAGCCCCGCCTCGCAGATGGGGGCAGCGCACCCTGGCCTGGCCCCCGTGCCGGCCGCTGGCTGCCTCGTCCTGAAGCACCCCGGTGGGCCTCCCTCTTCTCATTGCTTCTCATCAGCTTTCTCACCCCAGCACCCTCCCAGACCCCGAGCTGGGGTAGGTTCTGAGGTGTATCTTGGGCTTCACTTGTTCTCTGTCAGTCTTGTGGGAGTATGGCTCCTCTGGTCCCCTCAATCTGGGATCCCCCAGCCCTCGAAACAGTTAAGCTCAGAACAGAGCAGATGCTTATGGCCTTTCCAAGGATGTGGCAGTAGGAGGAGAGAAGGTTTGAAGCTGTGACCTCTCTCCAGGCCAGTGGGAGAAAAGGCTGTGGATGAGGAGAAGGCTGTATTTCCTTCTAGTGGCTGAGCCAGGCCCCGCTAGCTCAGGCGGGGCTGATGAGAAAATAAAAGGCAAGCGGAGGGCAAAAACCAAACTGACCCTCTTACATCTCCCCTCCCCCCGAGATGTGAGGGGGATACATGTGACATTTCTCAGGCACTCCTGACTGCCCAAGAACGAAGGAAGGAAAAAGCAAATGGTCACCTGATAAAGATCACAGTTTTTACAAGAAAAGCACAATCTTGAGAGTAGTCAGACCTCCAGAAACCTATAGCCTCAATTTCCTGGAGCCCTAACATCACCTCCCACCTCCATAGGATAAAAAAAACCCTATATAATCAGTCACTCCTCACACGTAGAATGCATCCTTTTCTGCCCAAGGGGTCCTGTCACGGTGCTTTAATAAAAATCACCTTTTTGGGGCGCCTGGGTGGCTCAGTTGGTTAAGCGACTGCCTTCGGCTCAGGTCATGATCCTGGAGTCCCTGGATCGAGTCCCGCATCGGGCTCCCTGCTCGGCAGGGAGTCTGCTTCTCCCTCTCCCACTCCCCGTTTGTGTTCCCTCTCTCGCTGTGTCTTTCTCTGTCAAATAAATAAATAAAATCTTTAAAAAAAAAAAAAAATCACCTTTTTTTTTTTTTTTGCACTGAAAAAGTCTCAATTCTTTCTTGACCATTCAGTCTCAGACCCAAACTCCAAATGATATCATGTTGGTGCCCAGTGTGGGGCTTGAGCCTTTCATCTGGACTTCGAGCCTTGGTGCAAACTTGGTGAATACTTCCTCTTCTGGAACTCCCTTTCATCTCAGGGGCTTTTCAAGGAGTATGGTCTTATTGGAACACTTTCATGTCCATTGCTCAGGCTGCAATCCTCTAGTCCGTGGCTACTCAATGGCATGGAGAAAGATTGCCTTTTGGCTAGAAGTTTGCACCCTGGCTGGGATGGTAATAAGACCCAGAAACTTGATGCCCTCTCTCCGTTTCTGTCCTTATACAAAGTTGTCTTTCTTGGGCAGGGGACAGCCACCTCAGTCACTAGGACGGCTGACAATCCTAAGACTCCTGTGTGAGGTTTCCTCCTCATTGGTCTAATGTGATCCCCTTCATATCTTTGGTCTAGCTTCTTTTGGTCATGAGACATTTGCGCAGAGCCAGCTGAAACCAGTACCCAATTGGATTAAAACTCAACTGGGGACCATTTCCTAGGGAAGCCGGCTGTAAGGACCACGCCTATTGGAATGGTGCTTAGATCATGGTGGATTTCTGTCTTTATTGTTTCCTGCCAGTGTTCCCTACTAACTACTTAAATTACAAAATTGGGTAATTTCCTCCTTATAAAACTTTTTTTAGTGTTTTCCATGGGTTAAAAATGGTAGGTTCTTCATGGCATGGCATTTCAGTTCCATTCACCAGCACCCATTTGTAGTGTAGGATGCAATGGGGAAGCCGGCATCCCTCCTACAAGGCAAGGTGTTGTTCGTAGTGACTTCTTAGAGGGACACCTCTGGTCACTTTGACATCAGGAACCTCTGACATTTCCTGTGTGGGATGCCACCTGGGAGACGGAGCGATTTTTGATAGTGGACCTTCTCTACTTTTCTAGGAACATGGGATCTTCTTCTTTAGTCCCCAAGGATTCTCCTTTGGGATGCCTTTTATTTATTTATTTTTTTAAAGATTTTATTTATTTATTTGACAGAGGGAGACACAGTGAGAGCAGGAACACAAGCAGGGGGAGTGGGAGAGGGAGAAGCAGGCTTCCCGCTGAGCAGGGAGCCTGATGCGGGGCTCGATCCCAGGACCCTGGGATCATGACCTGAGCTGAAGGCAGACGCTTAACGACTGAGCCACCCAGGCGCCCCGGGATGACTTTTAATCCACTGGAATCAATTTGGATTACAAGATTTAAGAAAGAGAAAACTGATCTTCTATAACATCAAGTGACTTCAGTACTCTCTAGGAGATGAGGGAAAATGGCCTTTTAATGGGACATTAAGCTTCAATACTATCTCTCAGTTAGATCTCTTCTGCAGAAAACAGGAAAAATGGACTGAGGTACCCTATGCCCAGGCCTTCATGGTCCTGCATCAGGATCTGGACCTAAGGGCCTCTTACAGAATGTGTCTAACCACCAATCACTTTCATAACCCCCCTCGGGACATACTGGATGATGATTGTCTAAGTAGGCCCATTCCTCCTAATAAACCTGGGCTACTGGAGGAATCAACTGACCAATCCAAACAAAGAGGATACCGGCTTTGTTACTATCCTTCCTCCTTATAAACCTCAAGACCCCTCTGCTCCCAGCCCAGCTGGACTTGCCAGGAGCAGAACTCCCTATCTTCCAGGACTGGATTGCATCCTTTTAGGGAGGTTGCTAATGGAGAAACAGGCACAATTAGAGTCCATGTCCCATTCTCAATGGCAGACTTGACTCAGATAAAACAACTATTAGGACGATATTCTGAAAACCCTTCTCAATGTATTGGGGGCTTCTAACAATTATCTATTATGTTTGATTTGACCTGGCAGGATATAGCCATCATATTAACTCACTGTTGCACCCCTGAGGAAAAGAACCATTATCTGGGCAGGGGCTCAAGAATTTGCAGATGAACTAGCAGCCAGAGATAGAGATCGTTATCCAGTAGGAGGCACTGCTGTTCCCAATCCTGAACCTCACTGGAATTACCAAGAAGATAGGGAAGGGAAGGATGAGACCATACAATCACCTGTTTAATGAAAAAGGATTCTCTAATCCAGTAAACTTTGATAAAATTTGGGAAGTTACTCAAGGAGCGATGAAAATCCAGCTCTGTTTCAGGGTCATTTGATGGAAGCCATCCATAAATGTACAAATCTGGACCCAATCTCACCCGAGGGAACAACTACCCTAACCCTAACCATTTTATAAGTCAATCAGCACCTGACATCAGCCGAAAAGTGACCAAAATGGCTTTAGGTCCTTAAGCCCCCACCTGGCGAGTATTAGAGGTAACTACTAGAGTCTTTAATAACAGAGATATGGCTTTACAGCAGGAAAAGAACCGGAGAGCTAAATTGCAGGGTAAAATACAGGCTCAAATATTGGCTGGCACTATTGTGGATTACCCACAACACCAGACCCACCAGCCGCCAAAGAAAAAGTCAGTATCAGACACAGGACAAGGTAAGACCCCATGCTACAGGTGTGGCCAAATCAGACATTGGAGCAAAGAATGTCCAAAGGCTCTCCACTGGGGCCATGTGTTGCCCACAAGAAAAAAGGACATTAGAAGGGAATTGAATCCACTGGAATCAATTTGGATTACAAGATTTAAGAAAGAGAAAACTGATCTTCTCCAGAGAGGGAGGAAGACAGGAACCCGCTTCCCCACCCAAGAGCAGGCACCAGAGGATCTGACATGACGGGGCCCTGAGGCTGGTCCAGCTCCCTTTGACATCAAGATGACTGAGCCCTGGGTTACCCTGGATGTGGAAGGTAAGTTTATCACTTTTCTTATTCATACAGGAGCCACTTACTCTGTCCTTCAGCACTCTGGACCTACTTGTCTTTCTAATCACAGAATTGTTGGCAGAGAAGAGGAAACCAAAATGTGCCACCAGACAATGACTTTAACCTGCAGATAGAGAAGTCAATTGGTCACTCATGTTTTTCTAGTCCTTCCGTCTTGTCCCACTCCATTACTCGGATGAGGCTTAACGTATAAACTAGGAAGCAGGTTTGCTCTTACTAAGGAAGGGGATGGCTTGTTCTCTTTAACACCTGGAGAAGTAAAACCCTACCCTGATATCCCTTCTAGTATCTGGGAGGAAGTAAATCCCCAGGTCTGGGATTGTGATGTCCCAAGATGGGCTCTTAACGCCCAACCAATCAAAGTGACTTGAAAGGACTCAACCACTGTACCTCATAAAAAACTATACCCTTTAAACCCTGAGGCAAAGACTGGGTTACAACTCCTTATTGATAAGTGTCTTAAACGTGGCATTTTAAAGCCTTGTCAGTCTCCTTACAGTGCTCCAATTCTCCCAGTAAAAAAAGCCAAATGGGGAATATAGCCAAATTTAAGAGCTATAAATGAAGTCGTTGTACCTATTCATCCCATAGTGCCAAATCCATATACTATTCTCACCAGGTCCCTGGTGACGCCAACGGGTTTACAGTACTTGACTTAAAAGATGCTTTCTTTTGCATCCCTCCAAGTAAGGAGAGGCAGCCACTATTTGCCTTTGAATGGGCCTCACCTTCAAGCCCACAGGCTGCGCCATGAACTTGGACGGTCTTGCTGCAGGGAGTTAGAGGCAGGCCTCACTTGTTTGGGGCTGCGCTTAAAAGACCTCCATGGTATTTCCCTGCCTCGAGGGACTACAGTTTAATATGTGGTGGATATTCTAATCTTACCCCACAAAAGAAGTGTCTGGTGGCAGTTCTATAACTTAACTTGATTAACCCCTAACAAGGTGCAGATATCTAAACAGAAAGTACGATATTTGGGATATGAGCTAACACCAGGTCACTGTACCCTGTCTACTGACAGGAAAAAGGCTATATTAGATCTTGGACCCCCAGGTACAGAAAAACACTTCTGTCCTTTCCTAGGTATGGCAGATTTCTGCCGCCTGTGGATTCCTGGATTTGGGCTCTTAGCCAGACCATTGTATGACTCGATTAGAGGCCCTGATGAAGAGCCTTGACTCTGGACTAAAGCCCAGAGGACAGCCTTTCAAACATTAAAAGCGAAGCTTTTGTCGGCCCCAGCTTTGGTGTTACCAAATTTAGAAAAACCTTTCACTTTATATGTAGGAGAAAAACAGGGACACGCTTTGGGAATTCTTATGCTGGAATTCGGAAATAAAACAAGACCAGTGGGTTATTTTTCAAAGGCACTTGATAATGTAGCACAGGATTGGCCGGCTTGTCTTTGAGCGGTAGCTGCTCAGCCCTCCTGGTAGAAGCAGCTTCAGGACTTACTCTGGGACAGTCCTTCACAGTGATGACTCCACATCAGGTCCAAAGTATCCTAGAGATCAAAGGCCACCAATGGATGACAGGAGACCGACTTACTAAATACCAGGCTATGCTTTGAGGCAGACCTGAAATAATACTTAAAACCAGTCAAACTTTAAACCCGGCTACCCTAATGCCTGGACCTGACCATAGTACTTCTATGCTAGAACATGACTGCTCAGAGATGATCGATTTTGTTCATTCTAGCAGACCAGATTTAAAGGATTCCCCCATTGAGAATACAGATGACAATTGGTTTACTGATGGCAGTAGCTTCAGGGATAAGGGAGGGAGAAAAGCCAGGTATACTATAGTTAAACTAAGACCACTGACCTCCAATAAATACTTCTGCTCAAAAGGCTGAATTAATAGTACCTACCAGTGCACATCAATTGACAAAAAGCCTCAAAATTATTATTTATACTGACTCCAAATATGCTTTCCTGGTGTTTCGTGCCCATGGGGCATTTTGGAAGGAAAGGGGATTATTATCAAGCCATAACTCCTTAATCAAATATGGGCCTGAAATTCTTGTTCTTTTTTTTTTTTTTAAGATTTTATTTATTTATTTGTCAGACAGAGGGAGAGACAGAGCAGAA